TAGTCGCGATATCTTCGCAAGAAGATATGAGAGAGAGAGAGAGAGAGAGTCTGCAAGAAAATCATTTATTTACCGTTTGACATTCACGCCTTTATGGACGCAAACTTGAGATTAGTTGAAAATATTGCGTTTGTGGTGAATCGTGAAAATTGTAATTAAATAAGGCAGGAAGTGTAGGAAGGAGTATGTCTGCAAAATAAAGGTGTGCCATAAATGGAACGTCAAATATTTCTTCGCGCGTAATGCGCCATGAAGCCACATCCGGCCAACGGGAAATGCGATGCTGATGACTTCTCTCTCGAATCAACCGGCGACGCGCTCGTAAGGCTCTTAAAAAATGTTCGTTCCTTAAAAGCGAAGTCGCCGGCAACTATTCAAGTCGCATCAAAATGCCCTATCGAGATTTCAGAGAAGCCGTATGAAACATTCAGAGAAAGCGTGGAGTAAGTTCGTAATAATGAGGTCCACTTTAAATGTAAAATCATTTCTAAGATCTCGCGTGTTACGATGTCACTTTACTCACTTTTACTATAAACTTTATCGCAACTTGTAATAATAAATAAGATTATATAATGATAATATTTTATCACGCTGTTAATCGCGTAATTGTTGATTTTACTTTCACGTAAATATAAGAGAAACAAACCGCGTGCGTTATTTTATTCACAGAAATTGTACCAAATTGCATAACATAGCTGAGCTCAGTCTCGCGGTATAAAGTACAGACACAGATGACATAACTGAAAGGTTACACCATCACCTTTCTGACTGACAATGAATAATGTATAATTTTCTTATTTATTTCTTACTTTTTATGAGACACATTTGTCCGTGTAATATAAGTACACGAGTATATTTAAAGAATGTAAACTATAAATTTTTAATTAAGGATTCGTTGGCTTCTCATTAGTTTCTTTAAATGTTAAGAAACTCATTTAAAGTTAAACTCATTCGAATTATATAAATAAGTAATACAAAACGTTTGAATATTTTTACATTTTTAAATCATCGATAGGCTATTCAAGAGATTCTATTTCCTGATAAATGGCTAAACTTTTGAAGGGATATCACCTTGAAGTGATTCGACAAAGAGCGCCGTTTATATATCGTAATCCGGGTCACGGTCATGGAAAGATTGCTTCGTGGGATCAGGACCTGTTTTAAACCACAAAACTAGTTTTTTAGAGTACAAATATATACCATAACTGCAACTATATAAATTTTCTACCGGAAAAACATTGATATATTTGTAAAATATATCAAAATGATATATCAAAACGATTATGAAAAAGTTGTTCAAATTCGAAAATAATTTTAGATGAATAAATTAATTATATTAAAATTGATATTAGCATATTTAAAGTTTTTGCATAATATCATGTTTATGTTCATATACGTAATTAAATATATTATTTTTAGATCTGTGCTTAATCAACTTTTTAAATACCTGTAAAATCGCTAAAATAATTCTTAACTTTAATAACTGACAAATCATCGACTTTAATAATATTATTTTAAAGTCTAATTTAATTTTTACGCATATATTAATGATATAATAAGCTTATTATACATTATGATACCAATATACATTTTATATTTTTGTATTTTTACGAGACAGGAAATAAATTCTTCTGAGCGAGTGGCATAAGATCTTCATGTGTAACAAATCTCGGATAATAACAGAGAGGAGCATTTAAAAGAAAATCTCGTTATCTGTACAACTAGTTCGTTGGATCCGGAAAAAGATAATCAAAGAACGAGCGCAAAAAATCATGAAGTTGTTAGAAAAGCCAAATGGAAGAATTCTCAAGAAAGTAGCGAGAGATGAGAAACGCGAGCGGTTTATGATAAGACGTATCCTTAACCGTTATGATACGGAACTACTTTGCTCTAATAATTCCTGATACTTGGCCGTGTTAAACAACAATTTAATTAATCAGGAATTTTTCGCAGAATTATTTTTTTTAATTATCCTTCTTAAAAAAGATTTATGAAATTGCTTATAAAAAAACTTATCTTTAATTCTATATATCTATGCAAAGATGTAAACACTTTTTGTGCCTTTACGTAATGTATGATGATCGAACTGCTCAATATACAGATTCAGAATATTAAGAAATGAATGTTAAATGCCTTATGTTTAATACAATATTTTTTTTCTTTTTTTTATATATTTTATATATTTTAATGTTATGAGAAGCCTTGCATAAAATTCATAAAAAGTTTTTAAATTTTATACAAAATTTTATACAAATTTCATAAAATATTTTTAAAACATCAGAACACAAACATCAGAAAAAATATTAAACGCAAGTTATATAAATCACCATAATAACGCATTGTGCAATAAAGCATTCAATGCAACTTTAAGATTGCAAAAATGTATCTCTGACGAATTTTGTTGTTACGTAAGAATTTCTGTCTCGCTTGCTCAAGGCAGGTGACTTAATAAATAATTAATTAAATGCATGTTGCAACGAAATGACAGATTTGTAAACAATGAAAGTTATCTCACGAAATTAGGATCGATGATTAATGCCAATTTAAAGAGCACGATTTCACAATATTTTCACAAGCTAAACTATTGATGTGATTTCACAAGCTAAACTATTGTGTATCGCGAGGAATGTCACTGATATCGATAATTAAAGATATTTCTTCGCGAAAACGATCAAGCAAGATCTACTCACGTTTGATGTGATGGCACGTGAATTTTTAGATAGGTTCGTGAATGAAGAGCAAGGATCAAAATAAGTAAAAGGACCAACTGTTCCTGTGCACAACTGAAACGCGCGTTTGGAGAACGAATGAAAATGTGAATGGTATTCGACCGTTCACCTGTCTTATACGGACGTAGATTGAAGCTTAGAAAGTTGATAAAATGTGATATCGGTATTCGGCCCTAGTTCGATTTTTCAATTCGTTCAAATCATAACCGTATATTATATCACGATGCGAGCCGTAGCTTCGTCCGTTTTACGCGTTACGACTAACGTTACAATAAGATCTGTATCTTGTGCAAGCCGACCTCTCGACGCGCAAGTGATGTGCTATTATTTTTTTTTATAAGACGTTGATCTTTTTTTTTTTTTTTTTTAGTAAAAATGCAAGGTTCGCTCGGCGAAGAGGAATTTAAGCTGTGTTATCGCGTACGCTCGTTTTCGTTCAAGAAAACGATTTTGTACTCACTTTCCGGCAACGGTGCCATGATGCGGTGGGCGGTTTCTCACACTATCAGCCAACAGGAACGTGAAGATAAAGCGTGAATCTTTGAAAATGTTACACGAAATTGATCACGGATGCTCGGCGTTCCGGACGATCCGAGCGGCATCGAAAAACGCTCGAAAATGCGACTGGCATCGCATCGTCCACTCTTATACGTCGTAGTCTTCAGGGTCAAGAAGGTAGGCAGGTAGCCGTTGATTTTTCACGAGCGCACGTCGACTCCGCCGTCTGCACGCGAATGTGACTGACATATAATTTTTATTATATGCCGCTCGCTATTAAATATCGCCGTGACAATAAACAGAATGCACTAGGAATGCATCAAAATGAAGATAAGATGATAATTAGTTCGACGACGTATGCTACGGCCAATTAATTGAATGATAGAGATACGTCATATGTAAATATTCAATTTCGATCATAGTATGTCGCGAGCATATTCGATCGACGAATAATCGACGAATAAACTCACCTATATTAAGCTTTTATTTGTTTTCGCATCAAGCCATCAAGCAGCAAAATATCTTTCAAAGAGAAAATATTTTTTTATCAAAATTGAAATTGAAGATTTTGAAGAAAGTGTGTCAAATAAAGTGTCGGCATGTTGAGAATTGAATATTATTTCGCTAAAATATTGAAAGTCATTTATATTAAAGACTATGTAAAAAAACTTTTATGATCATCGCGATTGATGTTCATTGCAAAACAGCAGTAAAAAAAAAATTAAAATACAATACCATTAAAAAAACCTGAATAAGTTAGCATAGCATTTCCTTAGTCAGCATAATCTTTAATCATTTTATG